TATGGAGGGGTCATTTTATAGACCAAAGAGGTATTCGCCTGATCAGCACTTGCTCGAGAGGAGAGAGTGGATACTCCGATGTCAGCAATATTGCAAATCAATGCATTTTCCCATCTGCCTGCTATGATGGATCACTTTGGGGAACCTCAAATTGACTGAGAAGGAAGCTGATGTATGTGCTGTATTAGTATACTCATTATTCTTCAAACCCGAGTTCAGTGTCTTTCTCTGCTTTTGTTTCAAGTTTCAAGAAATGGAGCTGACTGCAGCAGCTACCAACATCCTTCACAACTTCTAAAAATGACACAAAACTTTGACCTACGCAGTCCAACTTCTTCTTTTCTGTTTGCTCATGCTTTTATCGGACATCATCAAAAGTCACCTATAGCTATAGATTTCTCAGTACTGGCACTCCGGCCTTTGAGCAGTTTTTCTGCTCCGAATGACATTTTTAAATCATTGTCTGTACAGCTGACTGACGGAGGCTTTGGTTTGAATTCCAGAGTTAAATCACAGAAAACAAGACTCCCCTTCTGTAAGGGGAAGCTTAAGCTTAAGCAACGAGACTTTAACTCATAATAGTATTAAACTTACAACAGGCATCTCAGTAGGCTGTACTCTCTAAAGCATAATTCAAAAAGCATGTCTAATATTCTTACTAAATGTACTGTCATTTTTTAAGTTTTAGATACTATTTAATTGTTAGTTATTTTGAATTTGAGGATAAAATTTCATATTATTTTATTTATGAAGTGCATCAGAGTCAGCATGAGGTTTTTGGGGTGAACGATGGCTGAAGTGTGGCTCTGCATCCCGACTCAGTTTGTGAAGAGATTCAAGTCATAAAAGTGGGTTTGCTATTTTAGACATGTGCTACACAAAATATACACAGTGTAACTGAAAACACTGTGAACCTTTGTTGGTATCAAACAAGAGCAAAAATCTTACGCTGATTAAAATCAGAGTCAGCTCTACTGGCCACAAATATGCACACACAGGGAAGTGGGCTCTATTTTGTTTATTGCACACAATGTGCTTAACAGACTTGACAATCAGACAACAACAGCATAACACACAATAACATTTATAACACATATGCATATGTGCAGTGGTGCAGAATGTGACAGTCTTGGAATAATAGGGTGGATAACCGCTTACTATATGCACTGATATAGATATGTTCAACTTAACAAAATTGTATTACTGTTTAGGTAGAAACAGTAACTGAAACAAAAGGTCTTTGTGGTTTTGGCAAGATGTTTTTCAGTTGTTAATCCTTAGTTCTTGTTTAATCGCACTTCACTCATAAGCTTATGATATTATAACATGCTTTCTGAAGTTATATTTTTATGTACTTCTATCTACTTTATCTGCTTCTATGCCCAGGGACTCCAGATGGAAATTAGCTAGTAGCTAAATCTGGTACAATGCATCTTTTCTCTTAGGAGATTAATTTTTTATTTTTATTTTTTGTACATGGTCCTGGACAAAAAGTGGAAATGAAATGAAACAAACAGTATCAAAGAGGGATGTAGACTCTGTGATATCACCCTATCACACTTGTTTTGGAATCTGCATTTTTGTTGTTTTTTTTGTGGAGACAGAAGTTACCATATATGGATGAAAGGGTGGGGAGTTAAGTTGTCAGCTAATGCTTTTGAGGTTACTCGGCAAGTTGCATTAAATAAACTGTATGAGTGCGTACACACATATGCACATATCTACTTTTTGGTGCTAAGGGACAGAAAAATAAAATTGTAAAATTTGACTCTTGAACACAAACACACACACATAGTGAAAGGTCTGGTTTAAGTGATGGACTTGAAGTACTAGAAGTGTGGCCTAAAGGATTCCAGTTGTGAAGTGTTGATATTTACAGATGCTTGTCATGAGGGGAAAAGTTATCCACAGAGACCAAACTGGCTGTTAGACATGCTTTTAATTCTGTAATGTAGTTTTTGGCACTTCACTTCACATCACCTGTTTTTAATGTACTACACCCATTACCCCTGTCTTCACCTATCACTTGTCAATTTTCTTCGCCAGGCAGCTTTTCAGATGTTTTGCAGTGTTCAATGTTTGTGTCTCTGGTGATTTCTCCCAGTGTATGACCTTTGTCTGCCATCGGAAATTTGCCTGTCAATGTTCCCTGCTTGATTTGTTTGTCCTTGCTGACTGCCTACTTGTGCATGACCACGGGCTGTTTGGTTAAAGATTGTTTTGGACTACCTGTGCCACAGAGGTCCTCTGTCTGGTTCTTCTTTTCTGTGAAACTGTTAGACAAAGGGCAAACACTACCATGACAAAATCTCATAATTCTGCTGTCACCACATGAAAATAGATTAAAAAAAGAATAATAAAAAAAAAACCTAAGCAAACCCTGAAATTAAATTGGCCAGATGCACATATTAACAATAGACTCTCATTAAACTGATAGAAACCCTAGATGCAATTATGTTTCCCTCAGACACTTTTTGCTAATGCAATTTAGAGAAATTAAATTTCTCAGAGACATGCTTGCTTTAAACTCTCCCATCACACTCTTTGTCAGTGAAAAGATTCCAGTCTCATTAGGTCTGCTGTTAATATGAAAATATGAGAAGTGATTAGTGGCTTCATGAAATGACAAAACACAGGACATCACAGAGGGAGGACAGTGATCTATGGAGCGCTCGAGCAGCTCGGTGGTACCTGACAGTGTTGACAAGTGGAGGTGGAGACAGGCCTGTCAGAGGTGAGTGGAGGGCATCGCAAGACTGGCAAAAACAAAATATTTTTCTTAGACTCTTGTCATTATGTGCACACAACACTTCCTTTCCATTAGTTATGCTTTTATAATGGCGACTTTTTACCAAACACACATATTGTAAAGTGCATATGCACCTGCATGCACTAAAATGTGTTGCTGTGGGATTGTGTATAAATACCATTGTGCTTTCCTTGCTTCTCATGTCATTTTCTCCTTAAATTCAAAAGAAAAAATAGTCGTAAAACAAAATCCACCTTCAACTCTAAATTGGACAAATGTTAGCAGACAAAGTGTTTGAAGGCCAGGCGAGGCAACTAGGCAACATGACTCTTAAACAAGACCCAACTCAGACAGGCACACAGTTAAAACAGTTTATTTAAAGAGGAACAGGACTGAGTGAAAGCCACAGGGCTCGGGGAATAATGTGTCCTAAGGAGAGGAGAGAAAGAGTCAGGTCCAGCGGAGCGCAGAAGGAAATTTCCTAATGATCCAGTTTCCAGGACAGTCTCAAAGGTATGCATGAATTATCTTAATTGGAATGGATAAGCTTGGAGGGAGGAGCACTGGCCTGTCCACACAAAAGGGGTCTGTGGGTCATAGGAGGGTGGCATGGCGAGATGGAGAGTGTCCTAGAAGAGAGATCCTAAGGAGAGTGCTAAACTCAAAGAAGGCAGGTAGGTTGCTCAGGTAAGTCTTGAGGTCCCTTTCATCTGCAGAGATACACTGGAACAAACACAGGATCATCAGGTTCAGTACACATACATATATCAGTAGGAATAAACAAGGGTGAGCCTGTTTACGATGTGGAGATGACAGACAGTCTGTCGGAGTCCTGATGTTGAGAAATATCAGCTGCTGATGAGATCAATGAACCACAGGTGCGCTCGCTGAGAAGCTGCCTGTAAAATCAATCCGAGACCAGACACAGAGAACGGAGTCAAACACAACAGCCCAATACCGTACTATGATGGATGGATGAGACAAATGTGTCTCTGTTCTGTAAAGTGTGAAGTATGTTAAATAAGACTATAACTGGACAGCTTGTAAAAGCAGCGCGTGTATTGTTTGGAAAGCAGTGGAATAAGAAATAGGAACAGAAAGCAACTGGGAGTAAAGAGCTTCTTCAAAATAACGCTCATTCTTTTGAGATGTGCAAAACAACAAAACAAAAAGGAACAGTGTGTATTATTTCAGGTCTGTTAGCCACTTTGAGGGTCATCCTGAACCTTTTGGACCTTTATAAACAGCGAAGTGTTTTTAGATATAAAGGGTAACCAGCTGATGTGTAGAGTGCTTGATTTATTGTAATATCTGTAGGTAGTTAGTATTCTTACAGTATGTATTTATATTAATGTTTATATAGGTGCAGCTATTATTTATGCTCTAAATCTTGCATAGTCCTGCACCATTGTTGTTGTTTTTTGCATCATAACACCTTGTTTGCATACAATAATGTAATTCTGATCCTTATTGTAATGAGTGGCAACTGTGGTTGATGTAATTAAAGTAAAAGCACCAGGAACCTGACAGGGCCAAAGTGACGTGGGTGCACTGAGTAACTGGAAAAATCTCACAAAAAGGATGTTTTTGAAAGTCATCTCAGGAACGAGCTGAGCCCTTTTAAATTGTCAGCCGCAGGGCCAGAAGAGAACAACTCATCCCAGACAAATTACAAAAACAATTTTGAGTGTCCTTCCACTGTTTTCCTTCTTTGCCAATTTTACCGCTGAACATAAACTTTAATAAATCTCCTGAAAAATCTGTACGCAAGCAGCGTGAAGGAATTCAGATGGCCAGAGTCTCACCATTTCATGTGACAATCTATAGATAAATCAGGAAAACAGGCTCATAGCTGCTAGTGACAGATGTGACACTTAGTCATGTTTCCTGTTTATCTGTGTGTGTCATCGATCTTTAACATTTAAAGTGTCCCATATTAAATAAATGGAGGAACGCACAATCTGTTTATATTACAGAATATAACATTTCCAGCCTTTTGTCCCCCTTTTCTTTTACACGCGAGAGTTGAGGTTTATATGTACAATGATAAACTCTGGAGTACTTCATAACAACAGATGAGACATACATTTTTCCCAGTGGGCTCATTGCGCATCACAAGAATTCAAGTCCAAATGTAGACAAGGCAGCCGTAATTTCCTTCTTCATTTTTAAAAAGAGAAGTGAAACCTCCAGTATTCGATAAAACAGTATGTGTGGTGAGGGAGAAGCTCATTACATCCTCACTTGAGGACATTGTTAACAATAGCCTACACATGCGTGGTCTGTTTTGCTTTTGCCTCTGGATCCTGATCCGAGGTAAGTCGATATTTGGTGCTTTTATTGTTTCAGACTATATGTAGTGTGCTTGTTGGTGTAGGAGTGTGTGTGGGTGCAGTAGTGGGCTTCAAATCGGGGTTACAAATGTAATCTGTATCCTCTATTGCTGTTCCTTCACAGCGTCCTTTAGCACCAGAGTCACTGGCCTCGTTGGGCACAATGTCACGTTGACATGTAGGTATGACGCCAAAACCCATGGAGTCCTGAGTTTTTGTTGGGGCAAAGACAGGGTGCCCACGTCCAAATGTTCCAACACCATCCTCTCCTCCACCGGTGAGGCTGTGTCTAACAGAAGGTCCTCCAGGTACCAGCTGTTGGGCCGAGTGACAAATGGAGATCTGTCGCTGACCATCCTCAATGCTCGGAGGGAAGATGCTGGGGTGTATGGCTGCAGGGTTGAGATTCCTGGGTGGTTTAATGACCATAAGGTTAACATTGAACTGATCATAGAAGAAGGTAACGCTCGTGAAAAACTTTAGTGTTGATCACAAAATCATTGATGTTTTTTAGTAGAAAAAAATTGGTCTGTTTTGTTATTCATAGCTGCTGTAGAACAACCTGTTACACAGAACTACATAATATCTACTGCTGGAACAACAGGTGAGCAAACACCTACAAATAAATACGTTAACTTTTTAACACAAATTGTATCTTATGGATTATACCAACTAACTATTTCAGATGCTACAGAAATACTGACAGCGTTGGCATCTGAAAGCGTGGAAGTTGGTCACCAACGAATGGACGCAGTTCAAAGTAAAACAGAGCAGGTATTTGACTTTTTATTTAAATCAGGAGAAAGCTGTGTGTTATAATACATCAATTCCTATTTTTATAGCACACTTACAAAGTGCTTCACAGTTTTACTAAAATCACACATTAAAAACCAGCATATATGTTCCAGTGTGCATAGACAGACTCGACATATGGTCTTACAGTCATTCCTACATCCACACTTACATAAACACATCAGATGTAAACAATAGCCAAATACAATAGGAGAAAGTGTAAAGAAAAAAATCTGTTTGAAGCAAAGCACAGATTGACCACATGAGCTGACGAAGGCTGTCCTAATGTTTTTGGCACCACAACCTCTAAATTGTGATCACCTGTGGAGTTAAAATAAAAGCGTGGAAGAGTTTAGCGATCAGATGATCGGAGAGGCCGACTGACGTTATAAGGTCACAGCAGCTCTGCTATAGACGCAGGAGCCTGTCCATGTGGAGCTTTATGTATTATTAATGAAGGTTTAAAATAGAGTCTGGTTTTCAGGGGAAGACAGTAAAGAGAAGCAAGAACAAAGTTAACTCAGATAACGAAATGTTTTACAGCACGGTATGACTCATGGATGAAAACAGGAAACCTGTGGCGTTTATTTTCCTTTAGATTTTTCGTCTAGCAGCTAGAGAAGAAATGACACTAACTTGTAGTTTTGTCTTTTTATTAACTTATTTATTACAATATTTAGAAGATTTGGATTTCCTCAAATTAACATTTTGTCTCAAGATTGATGTGACACTTAGAAACGTTATTCAAAAAAATGAGTGTAAAAAAAAAAAGTGCAGGAAGATTCTGATTATTTAACATTATTTATGTAACAGATTTAAAATTATATGGCCATTATAATTGACCTCACGATAAGGTTTATTTTTCATCGCAGGTGAATTTCTTCTCGAGCATTGGGAATATTGGCAGGATGGCAGGTCTTTTATTGCTCACCATAATCATAATCCTCTGCTTTATTTTCCGTAAGTATGGAATGGGTTATCGTTTGTGAGTCATCTCCCATTTCTGATTAATTCAACATTAAAAGTGGGCGTCTATCAAACAGCTGAAGTCACAGAGCGGGCTTTCCTTCTTACTGAGTATCTTCATATTTGCATTTCTTCAATCTAGGAAGGATGTTCCTGATGAAGGAGGCACTGAAACATCACAACTCCGTAACTGCTGAGAATATTTATGAGAGCATCGCGATGACTTAATGCTGTTGATCAAAAATAAGACACCAGATTTCTACAGTATAAGGAACTTCTGGCTGCAGAAGTGGATGCCTGACGCATGTCTAACCTTTTCATTTCCAGAGCCTCTGCTTAACTAGTTCCCAGAAAAGCAGCTTACAGGAGTCCACTACAAAGATCTCACAGAAAAGGGTGCAATTGTTTCACAAATTGCAAAAATAACCTAAAGATGAATTATTTTTTGCATTTTGTCTTTCTTACTACCTAGAAGAGTCGTTGGCTTGTCAATACTTGCGGACACAATGCCACCTACTGGCCCTACTGAGCAATAATAAGCAAATGTGAAAAACAAGTTTGTTAGGTATAACTGCACTATTATCTCAGTATAAACCTCTCAGCTATAATTGAAAAAACCTTCTTATGACATGGCTTAAATGAACTGTGAAACAGCTATTTAGTGATGTGAAAAATATGTACTGTACTATATGTTATATAAGCTTTTTTTAACCACTGAATAATGTAAAAATGGAAAATGATTTGAGAAAGAACCTTTACATGCCAAGACTAATTGCTTATGGTTTATTTATTTCTCTCTAAGTCTTGTGTCTGAGTCATTTAAAAAGTTTTGTGTACGTTCTGTTACACTGTATTAGCAAACTGAATAAATGTAATTACCTCTACCTCATTATAAATCTCCTTTATGTTGAAAGATAACTGCTTTTCTCTGGAAGCCAAAACAAATTAAACAAAAACCCGAATAATGTTTTTCCTTGTTTAGTTCTTAGCAACACACGTGGGACTGAAAAATATGTATACATTGTGGCAACCAGTAAAAACCAGTACAGGACTCAAATGCACCACACAGAGCCAGGAGGCTTTAACTTAAAAAGCCCAGTGTTTACTCGACAATCCCGTACACATGACATCAATCAAAACAAATACAAAAATGCTTTAAAATGTCTTTAAAGTAGAACAAATAATAAAACATATAGATTTAATACAGCTGACCTCACACACAGGGGGTAAAGTGGGATTTGGCAATGTCGACCATACGCTTCTGGGTGGCTGAACAGCATTGTTTATGTTTTTTATCACATACAATGATGTCTGTCACAGTTTGTTGCCTGTCCAGTGCTGAACTTTGAATACCATAACATTATTATTATGTAATTTGTTTTGCACGCTGCATCACGATAAGTAAAATGACAACTTACAAAACACAATCATGTTCAGGTCCAATATCTCAAATGAAAATCTAAAACGAAATAGCCTGAATTCACCAGTTTATCAAACATGAACAGTCCTTACCATTTTTTTAAAAAAATCTCATATTTTCGTACATCTTGAACTTTCTATGTTCATCTCTGCCTGGGAAGTACAGCAACTGTACATTGGCTAAAAAGACACACAGTGATGCAAACTGCATGTATGAAAAGTTACATTTGAAATGAGCCACCCCTCGAAAATGTTTCATTTGTGCTCGCTCCTTTTCTGCAGCACTAGTTCGATCCTCACATCTGCACCATGAACGCACAACAGAGCTGAGATGGGAAAAGGCGATGTGGTTATGTTGCAAGTGACACTGTGGGATATCATTATTTTCTTATCACTCCATACCACCAGCTTGAAGCAACTGCAGGCTGCAGCACATGAAAAATCAACTCCCTCTACTGTGTTCTGTATTATCCTGACTATCAGATCTAATTTCTCATTAACTGAAGGTTGACTGTATAAAAACACTCAATATTACTACAGTTTGTTGTTCTAATGACACATTTTTTGGAAGTGATCAAAGAGGAAGCACTGTGCTGAGTTACTTAATATCCAGCAGAACCAAATGTTTGCTCAGCAGTCTGAGAAATAAGCAGAGAGTCCAGATCCCTTGAGTGAACTAGTGTTTTTGTTTTCTGTAGTGCTCGGAAATCATCAGTCATCATTTCTGCTAAACCAAAAATGATGAGTGTTTTTTGAAGTTTTATTTTGCGTATATCTTTGCCAATGAGCAAAAAATGTGAAATTGTTTAGATTTGTCTTCCTATCCAGATCAGCATGTCATGAACAGATAAACAAAGAAAATGTGAGAAGGGGATTCTGCACCTGTGGCACCTCCTGTGTTAATTGAACCACACAAGAAATGATCGATCGGTTCAGTTCAGATTTCTGCACATTTCATTGAAATAATGCTGGATTTTGGATGGGGAACCAACGCAACAAAAACAGAAGCAGCTCTGTTCCGCTTTAGCGAGAAGAAAAATGAGTTGTGAGGCGCTTACACTAAAAACAGCACCATGCAGTTTGGAAATATTTTAACACTGAAATCACACTGTGCTCAGTTCTGTCTTGTTTAACAGGGGAGTTAACGTAATGAGAGTGTTTAATAGATGGAGCGTGTGCTGCCTAAAACAACTGTTTTAGGCAGCACACGCTTACTGTAAGCATGTGTTGGAAACTACGAATGTACTTCTACAAGTTTCATTTAGACTTAAAAGGTGTGAAGGTTCCCTTTTGTACCAAAATAAACTTGTTAGTTAACTCCAGTTGATTGTAGAGCCATGATGCAACATCCAAGTGATGCTGCCCAACTTTCATTATCCACAAATAACAAAATGTGAGCACTCTAAATATTGATTAAACCCACCTTTGGGCATAATAAATATTTAACACGCCTTTTTTAGATGGAAGATGGTCTAGCTGAGACAAAATGTTTTCCCAGCACTTTGTGGGCATCAGTAAAGTCAACACCTGTCCTCTATTACTGCAGGAGAAACAGTGGTTGTGTTTTTCACTGTAGTAAAGGAGCAAGGCAGCTCAAAATATAGATGAAGCAAGATTTTTCAGATGTGGCTGAACTAGGTATTATTTTCATATTTATGAATGAAACATAGTATGTGGTATTTACACACGCTGACCACTTTATTAGGTAACACAAATATCAGTTTAATCAATCACATGGCAGCAGCTCAGTGCATTTACGTATGAAGATACTGTTGAGACGACCTTTTGAAGTTGAAACTGAGAGCGAGCATCAGAATGGGGAAGGAAGGTGAATATGTGAATTTCAACCTGGTATAGTTGCTGGTGGTCTGAGCAATTCAGAAAGTGACGATCTGCTGGGATTTTCCCCACACAACTGTCTGTAGGGTTTACCGAGAAAAATGATATAGGTTTAACAGTTAAATTGATAACAGGTTATAACGTTAAAGCCACTGAGACTGGGTCATCCTTTTTTGTCTCCTAGTTACAGAGTTAATATTGGGGGATTTTATTATCTGTTTGTTCTAAATGAATTCTGAAATAGTTCATATAAAATGTGTTTTTCCTGATCTCTTGATTCTAAACAGAAGTAATACTTGTCTCAAAGAATTCATTTCAGCAAACATTTTTCTTTGAAGAACAAAGATGTGCAGATTTTTTTTTTCTGCTAAGATATTTGTTGACTTTATTTATTTGAAGAGAAACCTTTTGACCCCCACTAATTTGACCCCCACGTGGGGCGATCATGGCTCAAGAGTTGGGAGTTCACCTTGTGATCGGAAGGTTGCCGGTTCGAGCCCCGGCTTGGACAGTCTCGGTTGTTGTGTCCTTGGGCAAGTTGCCTACTGGTGGTGCCAGAGGGCCCGGCAGCCTCGCCTCTGTCAGTGTGCCCCAGGGTGGCTGTGGCTACAATGTAGCTTGCCATCACCAGTGTGTGAATGGGTGGATGACTGGTTGTGTAAATCGCTTTGGGGTCCTTAGGGACTAGAAAAGCGCTATACAAATACAGGCCATTTACCATTTTTAATCAGTATGAAAGAAAATATACGTTCAGAACAATGGCCGCCATTCTCAGACTAAAATAAAATGTGAAAACGTGTTGTTTGTGTCTCAGCACTAATGCTGTTCACATAAATGAATGATAAATCCATTGTTTTACTGTTATTTGATGGCAGATTATGCACTTATATGGCTTGAAAAAAGGCTGCTGTTGTATTAGTAACACAATGCCACCTACTGGATCTAATGCCAAAATATTAATGAACAAAAAATAACCAAGGTCACTGTAATCTTACCAATGTGTACTTTGTTGCTGTGTTTTTTTAACACAAGAGCTTCACTGTTTTACAACATACTAGTCTGTAATCAAATCTCTCTTTAATAACAATATCTCAGAGCAACATTTTTGCTTGCTCTGAGATATTGACTGTAAAAACCATTACACAGATTTTCACTTCAATTCATTAAAAGAAAGTTGCTTCTCTTTTGCGTTTAGTTCCTCTCTCTATAAAACCCCCCAGTGGTAATAATATAACCTAAATGGAAGAAGTTAAGAGTGAAAGTAACTGTTTCCGATCTCCTGGAAAACAAAAAAAAGTTTTCAGTGAGGTCACAAGAAGACAACACAAGAGGCACCAAGGCTACACTGTCACACTTTGTTTCACCCTGTTTCTCATGAATGTTAACTGTATGAGGGCAGCCTGATAGGTGAGCAGCTGGGTTCTGTACTACGTGGGTAGAAGCCCTTGTAGCAGTGAGCGTCTGGTTTCCAGCTAACCACATTGTTTCTCTGCTCTTTCCATGAACTCCATGTTATGTCTCTTTCCATTTTATCTTTTAAAGAAAAACAAGCGAAATCAATTTGTTAAGTATAGTTTATCACAAATCCTTCTAGATTGGAATTTCACGCAGAGATAAACGCAAAATGTGATGGTACAAACAATACTGTGCAAAGATCTTGAGCCACCCCTTATTCTTTTATATTTTGTTTCAAAGGCCAGACTGTCTTCCTCATCTGCCATGCAAAACCATCATGTAAGTGTCTGACTGACAACAGTTTGATTTTTCAACATGAAAATGATCTCAAACACACCGCCAATACCGAAGCTTAGACAAAAACACTCATAGTGGAACTGTCAGTCATGGATTGGCCTCCACAGAGTCTGCACTTCAGCATTATTGAAGCAGCGTGGGATCATTTTGACAGAATAAGGCAGCAAAAATCCAAAGATGTGCTTTGATTGTCCTTTAAAAAGTCAGGAGCAGAAGCATTCCTGAAGACCACTTAAAGAAATTAGCAGAAAGCTGACTGTGTTGAAGAATAAAGGAGGTC